ATATATATATATATATATATATATATATATATACACACACACACACACACACACACATACACATACATACATACATACATACACACACACACTGTACATGCATACATACACACACACACATTATGCAGACAATGGAGATGCGTATATCCATGAATATTTCCCCCACACTTCCTCTCTTTTCACTACCAGCCACTGCAGTTGAAATATTGATTACATGTACAGAAGCACAAGCACTAACAGCAGTGATATGTAAATTAAATAATTACATCCCACAGCCTAGAGAATCCTTCCTTTTACCAGGACAGATTGGTTAATTTGTCCTCAACTTGTTAGGCTGCACATTTCAGGATCAAGTTCAGCAATGGCAGAAAGTCATGTAAACTGAGAGGCATAGCTATATGCTCCAATTTAGCTGCTAGCTAATAGTTAAAGTGAGTATAAATGATAACTATTAGGTGTTTAGCTCTGGTAATAGCAAACTGAACTATCAAGTTAAGCCAGTTTAACCTGCTTACAGTGGGGCTAAATTTGACACTGGAAATTTTGGGAACAGCATGCTTTCCCTAAAGCAAGGGGTAGGCTATGTTAGCTTGGATCCTTTTTATTTAATTTTATTGACATTCTTCCCTTTTACCTTCTTAGTGTGAACACTGCACTCTTTTTGCCCACTCAGCTGATGATAACTTCAAATACCACCACTTATTATACCCAGCCACTTCCATATGACATACAACTTGCACTCAGATTATCACTGATGAAAGTGGGCCAGGGCCTTCCTTTGTGCCATTTCTCTGCAAAACTGAAATATTGGCGCAGTTGCTGAGCAGTAAATTGTTACACCTAATACTTAAATCTATTTCTTAGAAAGAACAAGGGCCTGAGGAATATAAACTAAACATGAGAGACAAGCAGCTAGGTGGAGATGACATGATGTATCAGTTTACTATAATTTCTCTTTTATATATAAAAAAAATTAAGAATAGCATCTTGTATTATCACAATGTCTGCCGAACAGTGTAAAATGAGCAAGCAAGAAATTACTGCAATAGCTCCAGTTATTAAAAATGCATTATTTCCTTATTAACAATTCAAAACAGATGCCAAGGATCATCTCTGCTAGAAATAAAACTGCTGGAGTGAATAAAACATCCAGCAATTAGCTAAAAGCAGATCAGAAATGCTCCAGATTTCACTGTAGTACACTCATTAATTGTTTCTTTTCAAAGCAAATTTCACTTTATATTCTGGGCTACAAAATTAATTCCTTTGCATATTTTCTAAATAAAGCTGAAAACCTAAAATTAGAATTAAGCAACCATTCCGAGACACTTCCATTTCCAATCATTTCCATTAATAACAAACAAACGGAAAGATTTACAGCTATATTAAATTACAAATGGTCAGCTCAATGTTATAAATTAGGGGTCAGTAATATTTGGGCTGGAGTGCTAAAAACAACCCAGCCTCAACCCAGGCCTCAATTTAGTGCACCCGAGGCACATAGAGGGGAGCTGTGAAGGGCCCGATCCTCATTGCTGGTGGTGGTGCACACATGCCTCTGGGCAGATGACAAGGGAGTGGCCAGGGTTGCACTGCCCCAGCCCCTTGCCCACTGTGCATGTACAGCCACTTCCACCACAGAGCCAATGCTGGAGCTCCAGACTTGGTGTAGT